AAGTCGTACAAGAAAAATGACAAGGATATGATAGCCAATGTAACAAAAAAAGAAAGAAAAGTTGGCACAATTCAAGAACTAATAGATGAGTTTCAAAAACAATTGCCTTTATATAAAAAACACTTTTACAATATTCAGGAGCAGCAACGTCAATACAGAAAGTGTATTGAAAATTTAAAGCCCAATGAATGTGCAATATTGGTTGATTTTTCGGAAAACTACGACTGCAAGTTGGCACAAGAGATTCAGTCGCTTCATTTCGGAGGGTCTAAAAATTCGATTACTCTGCATACCGGCATGATTTTCTTAAAAACACAGTGTCAATCATTTGTAAGTTTATCAGATAGCAACTGTCATGAACCTCATGCCATTTGGGCACACCTTATTCCAATCATCAAGTTAGCGAAGCAAATGTGCGGTAATTTATCCGTAATTCACTTTTTCTCGGATGGTCCAAGCAGCCAATACAGACAAAAAAAGAATTTTTTCCTACTTAACTTGTTTACCGAAAAACTCAAACTGTCCATGACAACGTGGTCATTTTCAGAAAGTGGCCATGGGAAAGGTGTGGCAGATGGCATAGGTGGTGCCACAAAAAGAGCGTTAGATCGTCGTGTTTGTTATGGACATGATATTTCAAATGCTACTGATGCATTTAATAATTTAAAAATGTGCATGACTTCCACAAAGCCCTTTTTTATACCTAATTCTGATATCGAAAATATTAAAACACTAATACCAAACAATTTAAAAGCAGTTGCAGGCACAATGCAAATACATCAAATAATATCAACAACAAAAAATGAAATACTCCATAGGCAGCTAAGTTGTTTTTGTGAAAGAGGACTGTGTCTTTGCTTGAGCCCAACTAGGCATTATTTTTTCAAAGATCTTGGTTCTGGTCCCGATGTAGAAGTTTTTCAAGTTTTTCAAACGTAAAAGATCTCACCTATGTTCGAAGCAGTCCATTGAGAAAAAGAAGCCTAGCGATGCTATATTATTGATTGATCCTATGACTAACTATAATTATTATTGTGAACCTCAAATTCTGCAACAAGTGGATAAAATAGAAGAACTACCAGAAGCTATTGCTAAAAAGGAAATATCACAAATTATTACAAATGATTACCTAACTACGTATTGAATTAAGACTGTTGATTGAATTTAAAAATATAAATTGTTTTATTTCCCTAGCCCGCCTAACTAACTAACGCTCTAAATAAAAACAATTAGTTTTAGACTATATGACTTAAGTAGGTATAGAACTAATTAACTACAACACAATCTGTTTATTTGGAAGCACATTTTAATGCTATATTCAAGATTTATTTCATCACCTTTTGGCATTGTTATGAACGCTGCCTAAGTATCTATTTAGTCACGATAGTATTTCCTATTTAGTTACAGTCACACTTTTTTGTCCTACCATCGTTATCGATTATGATGGAATATATTATTAAACTGTACTTTAATTTCATAAAATAATTATATCACTAGCATGCTTACATCCCATGCAAGTTTGGTTTCATTGCAAAGCATTTGAAGTAGCTAAAACATGAAAAAAGTAGTCCTTTTCATTCAAAACGTCACGAAATGGTTTTAACATATGAATAGAACAACATTAATGTTGCGAAAGGTAAGTTTATTATTTTTTATAGGTAGAATAACATATTATGTTCACACAGGGAGCGTAAAATAAAATTTAAAAAGACTTATCTTTCCAGAAAAAAGAAATCATTTTGTCACTAAATGGACACAGTTTAGTCATGGTCCCTAATAAAAATAGCAATATCTAGTAAAGAAAACATTTTCCAAAGCAAAGTAAAGTTTTTTCTAGATCTTTAAGATACAGTGCGTCGAATAATAATATAATTCGAAACAATAATTTAAAAAAATGTCCGCTTTGTCCACATAGTCACGGTGCAAATTTTCACGGAATGACTCCTATCTGTTTTACTTGCGCATGAAAGAGACAACGTTATGTCTTCAAGGCCGTGCGCCGGTGCCGCCGGTGTCAACGAGAGTGGAGTGCGAGTGTGAGTTTGGTTTTAAACCCAATCAAATTGAGTTTTTAACTTACACAACTTTTAACAAACACAGAGTTTTTAACTTATCAATAGAGTTTTTATAACTTAGGTAGGTACTACTTACGCTTGGTGGGACGGACCAACTAGAACATATAAAAAATCTACACACAGTTTATAGCTACTACGTCATATCCCTGCCTCGATAAAATCAAGAAAATGTAGTTATAATTAAGAAAAACATAGCCATCAAGAACAACCGTTTTAAATCGAAAAAATAATTATTATCATATTATATTATATTTCAAAACAGAAGTTTTGAAATATAAAATGATTTATTACTTTAAAATTATTGTACTTAAAGTAAAATGATAAAATACCTACTTAATGAAAGGTAATGAAAAAAATTACATTAATGTTTCTTCATTGGACGACGCTGCCCGAACGAAACCGATGCCGATCAATACCTACTCGACGACACTTCACCGACAAGTTCGACAGCTACATTCTTCATTTCGCCAGCGACACGACTGCGACCCGATACGACGCCTCAAATATAATATAAAATAAAAATAAATAAAATATCAAGTTATTCTATAATTTGAACTCACCAAAAGGAAGCTGCCAGGGTCTGTGATACGACTAGCATTTCTTCGAAATATCTAACTGATTACCTAAATTATGTAATATTATATAAGGTAGATATAGAGAATATCAGGTATCAGGAGTCCAAAACGTCATACTCAAAACGAAAGTTCAGTGCTCAATTGCAAATAGGTATGTACCTACCTATCTACTGTTTTAGAAAGAAGATAGTAACATTAAAAATGTATAGTAGGGTAAGAAGTGTTACATGTGTGGCGACTTCTACATACGATGAAACAAAAAAAAAATACTACAGCGCCGTCTAACGAAGACATACCGAACTAAGTACATACCGTAACTCCTGCATGAGAATTGCTTATCCTGTATCGCGATATGAACAATTCTCTCGCCGATTAGGATATATACCTACAACTTCCCAACATCAACGGGTTTGCCGCGGCCCTCCAGGCATGATCACCTCGCCTGGTAGGAGGATTCTTCCTTTGTGTTGGAGGGACATTATACCCGTTCCTCCACACACGACAAGTTTTGACGAGCTCATAGCCGACCATCTATTATTATCATTTATATTAATATAAATTATTAGGTTAAATGAATGTTTGGAGCAGCGCGTGCACTGGCGGGGTTGTTGCTTAACATGAGGGGAGCCGATGACTCCTGCAGGAGACTCTACTCGAGTGTTGTGCGGTCCATGGCCCTTTATGGGGCCCCAGTATGGGCTGGAGCCCTGAGAGCCAGCAACGTCGCACTACTGCGACGACCGCAGCGAGTGCTGGTCATCAGGGTCATAAGGGGGTACCGCCGCAATTTCTTTCCTTCTGCGGCCCGCCAGGCCCGGGAACGGGCCAGGTACCGCAGACGACTCGGGCGCCGGACATACGTCCTCCATAAGCGCAGGCCTGGGGGTGACAGGTAAGGCCATCTGTCACCCTAGCAGAAGCAGGCCGGGGGGTAGTAGGGCGGCGAGACGCGTTGCGGTACCTGATGACCGGTAGATCTTTTGTTAATTTTGCGTGTGCATCAGTGTGTGTGTGTGTTTGTTCGTGTGCGTGTGTGTGTTTGGAACAACAATTTTATAATTTCAATGAATAAAACCAATTTAGATAACTTATATGTCATAATGACATAATGACATATACATAATCTCAGAAAACCAAATTAAATTAAAAACATTTTAAAATATGTATAACTTTATTTGTAATTAAACAGCACATACAAAACATCCATTATACACATAAGACACAATTTCAACCACAGAGGTTATAAACACATTACATTGGACCATTTCAGAACAACATTGACGGCAGCAAGTGGAAATATTAACCACTATAAGTAGCAAATATGCAATTATATAATTTTTTATATTGGTATAGCACCTAAAAAGGATTGGATGGAATGTTTTAGGACTTATGTAGGTACATTATTAGTCCTGCATATTTGTTTTTCGTATTCATTCGCAGTAGCGTTTATTTTACAAAAATATATTTTTATTATTAATTAATAATGGTCGGACTAACTCTGAAAGCTGCCGCACGCAAGTCATATAGCACGTTAATTCGATACTCATGCTTTTAAGGCAAAAGTGTACGGCATAGTGTTCAGCTGCTTAGGTAATGACAAGGATCCAAAACTCAAGTTCTTGCAATTCTAAAGGACATGGATAAGATATAGAAATGCAATTCTGACTTCCAAGAGTGACGAAATAGAAAGAGAGGTGATTAGCGTTGTGTCACCTGGATTGTATCTTTCATGGTGTCGTAGCATGTGTCGCTATTTATTTAAATGCTTTTATCTAGTAAAACTTCCGTACTAGTACTATTAAGTATTCTGTGGCACTGGAACAAAAGTACCTACACCACAGTAGTAACCTTATATTTTTGTCACCTATCACAGCGTATTGTTGTTATCCCTCGATAAACATATAAATTATGATGAAGGCATATTCATAGCAGTTCACTTATGATTACAGTTTGTAAATATTTTAGTAAATAGAATTAATTCGAGATATATATCTATTTACAGAACTATTTTCAGGTCTCCAAGACCTTTTCAAAGATTAGGCGAACTATTTGTACGTATCATTAAATATAAAATATTCTCATGTCGGTAATTCTTAATAAATAAAATGATAATTTTAGTATTCTTCAAAAATATTTCTTAAGTATCCTTTCGCTAAGTAAATATATAAGTAGCTCCAAAGGCATAAAATCACAAAAAAGCTTGGAGCTTTAATACACAGACAACGTTAAAACTAAGTAAATACTCATCTAAGTATTTTTGCCACAAAAAGACTGGCTAGTTAGAAACACAGTTCAAAAAAGTATTGTAGAGATGTAAAGTAATAAATATAATTCCAAAGTGAAGTAAGTACTAGGGCCGGTGGGTGTCGTCAGCGTCGACGTAGCGGATGTGGTGCGCGTGCGCGGCCGCGGCGAGGTCGCGCAGGCTCTGCTCGGCCGCGGGGCTGAGTTGCTTCACCATTCCGGTAAAGCGTCCCTCCTCCATCTGCAGTAGGTCGTGTGGATGACCGTATTCCACGATTTCTCCCGCTTCCATTACCTTAGAACCAAAACGATTTTATCCGTTAATCCGACGTTTCACCTGATTTTTACCATGAACGTTACCATAGTAATCCGACACTTCGTTGTAATCCGATTTGGTTAACTCTTTTCCTTAAATATTAGTAGATAAGAAATTAAAGTGAAACCGAAGGGAACAGCACAGTGAGGTGAGTGCTAATCGATTTTACATATCATTTCATTGCACACACAGATACTACCGGGTTGTAAGTTAATTTTTAATACTCCCGGTCTTCATTTATGTCTTTTTCTATGATTGTTTATACTATTCTAGACTATTATACTTGTCAAATAGCTAACAGTACCTACAGTTTTTTACAGTTTAACTGACAGTTCTTAAAGAAAAGAATAAAGATATTATAATTAAAAGAAATGTATTAGGCAAAATTTCAGCAATTTAAAAAAAGAGTTAGAAGTCCAATATCTTGAAAATTGTTAGGTTTGGCATATGGTATTTTATAGTGAAATTTATCAGAAATGATAGCAAGTACAACCCCTTAAAGTATCTAAGTCAACTTAAGCAGTAACCCTATATATCTTGACAACAAATACTTACAACAACTCTGTCAGAATCGGCAACCGTGTGCAATCGATGTGCGACGGTTATTACAGTGCAATCACTGAAATAATGGCGAATGGATTTCTGGATCAGGGCATCCGTGCTGTGGAATGATAAAATATTATCATTTTTTGCATCTCAAAATTAGATTTTCGTAAATAATTCAAGTATTGGTATCGTTAAACTGACTTAGGATCCACATTCGCTGTAGCTTCGTCAAGTACGAGCAACTTGTTCCGGCCGAGTGCAGCGCGCGCTAAGCAAAGCAGTTGTCGCTGTCCGGCGCTAAAGTTCGATCCTCCCGACTGCACAGCGGCAGACAGTGACGTCACGTGGCGTTTCAATTCAACCTTCAAAACAAAAACTAAGGTCAGTATTGGTATAAAGTGATTTAAAAAATGTGTAGTATATGTTCCACAGTTTGTAAGTAAACTGTCTCAGTGTTTCAATAGACACTTTAAACTATAAAGATAACACGAGTGTTACATTATCCATATAAAACATCATTATAGAAACTTTTAATGAGAACATTATTAATGTTAAACCTACCTGTTCTAAAGCTTTCCATATATCGGCGTCAGTGTATTTATCGAACGGATCCATATTGTAACGTAAGCTAGCCGAGAACAGTACCGGCTCTTGAGGAATTATGGAAATTTTAGATCGTAGTTCCTGTAAAGAAAAGTGTTACAAAACTTACTAATTTATTTCCTTACGAAGAGCGCACTAATCAAGTTGTAGTCTTAACTGTTTGAAAGTTTCGTTTCTTTCGAAGGCTTTCGTTTAGTTTCTAATGAAAATGTTAAACTATAAAATACTCTAACTTTTACTAAGTTAACAAGACTGGTTTAGTTTAGAGAGATTTCATTGTTTGCGTAGGTGGTTTCAGCGAACTGCTACATTACTAAATTAATACATAATAGTTGATAGATATTTATGTATACATGCCTTGAGAGCGATTTCCTCGGTATCGACGTCGTCTATAAAAACATTCCCCTCTAAAGGCGCTAGACGGAAGAGTGCTGATATGAGAGAAGACTTTCCAGCGCCAGTACGGCCGACTACTCCTACCTGGAAAATTACGATACAACATGCAAAAAGAGAGTTAATTCACTTTTTTTATATTCAAATTATAAATTTTTTACCTTCCAACCGCTTTCGATCACAATGTTCAGTTTTTTGAGGACTGGATCGGCATCCTTATCGTATCTTAGTGATAGGTTTTTAAACACAAGCCTAGCTCGCTGCGGCCAGCCGGCTGGAGGTGACGGCCCTTCCGTGTTCTCTCGCGGCAGTGACGTAAACTGCACCACGCGCTCTACGCTTGTCATCTGAGAAATAACTTCAGTCGTTTGCTTTACACCATATTGGACCATGTTCACCAGAATCAGACCTTGACTTATCGCCAGGCCGACGTTGCCAGATTTTGTAGTGCCTGTGAAATTAAATATTAATATTAATCACCTTGCAAAGGAAAATACTTACAATAGATAAATTTACGCAGTAAAACTTGCCGTCATCGAGTAACAGGAAGGTGTAAGCTACGACAGCCACGTACGAAGCACATATCAAACTGAGCCAAATGGAAAAAGCTGTATTTGTGACCATGGTCAGGAACCTAAAACATAATTAAATAAATGCTTATCAATATGTATGCCAATTCAGTACCAAAGCAATGTCTATATAATATAATTCTACCAGGCGGCTGTGTGAATGTCCTGTTTCTCATCGAAGTGTTTAAGTAGCATGTCTTGCGCCTCGGACGCTCGCACAGTCCCAAGGCCCGCCATTGTCGCTGACACGTGTGAGAACACCGGGCTGCGTGCCACCCCCTCCACTCTGAGAAACAATATTGTTCAAAGTAGTACTGTAAATTACTTACGTGCTACGGCTCGTAGTACGCTGATATTGAACCATGATGTAATTTTACACCATTTAAAAACTATTAAAAGTGTAAGTGTAATAAAATAAGTAATACATTAGGAAAAATTAAAAAGATCAGAAACCGTTTTTCTATATACGAGGGACCTTTTTCTGTTTTTTTTCCTGTGCGGAAATCCTCTCGGTTATCACCCACCGGTGGGGTGATTATGTCGGATTCAAACCAACCAAAAACCGAACGCCGTCTCGGGTACCAGTAGCCGGGGAACCAGGTGTACCCTAGAAAGGAAATCCCTGGTACCCCGACGTACCTCGGGCCATCCATGGCGTATACATAACCCCCTCCTGTGTGGGAACCCGCTTATTCTCTTTGCGTTTGCCGCAACCGAGGCCTGCTTCTGCTAGAGTGATGGAGGGTTCCATCACGCCTCTCGAGCCAATCCTCCATAACGGGTATTAAAGCTGCAATAACGGCGTGCCCAGCGCTCGGTGGCCCAAATCGTTCCTTCCACTCCTCTACGAGGACCTGGCGGAGTTGGGATTTCTGTTCCTATATACGAGGGACCTCGAGGGGTCTATTTTAATCTAAATAAGTGATGAACCAATGTGCATCTTATGAGTTTCAGACCCAGACTATCTACTAGACTATCACTACGTTTAAATTACTAGATTATCGCTGATTACTGAAGGTCTCGTAGACAATTGGAATATGTCAATCGAAGTTTATTGTGTATGACTAAAACAACTGACTTGACCGACATGACTTGTGGACTGCATAAAATATTATTTTAGAATTTAAAAAATTATCATTGTCTTCATTTGACTATTTATGAGTATTGAACTTACCTTTTTATGGCCTGCGCTGTACTTAAGAAGATGACTGTCCATATGTACATTAAGACACCACAAACTGCCGTTGTCAAGAGCATGTAAGGGTTGACGATAGCGACCATAACTAAGATACCTAACATTACCATGAATATCTGTAAAAAAAAAACAAAAATATATAAGCGAAGTTATGTAGATCATAGAAAGAATTTTCATAGAAATATGATCATGTGTGCGCATTCAAAGCTTGACAAAATACGTTTATAGGCTCGTTCCGTAATAGTTAAAAGAGATAAAAGTTACGCGATTGAGAAGAGACAACTCTACCAAAATAAGTATTCTAGTAAACGATATATATAAATTTATGTATTCATATTATTCACTGCTCTGTCACATTCAAGCCAGTAATTTGATAATTTTGAAGACGTTCAACATACTTGTATACTGTCCAGGTACATCCTGGGTAAGATCTCATCGACGACGCCCATGTCTTTAGAGAATCTATTGAGGATGCGTCCAGAAGGGTTGGTGTCGAAGAACCGCATCGTTGCTGCCAAGATATTGCTAAACATCTGATTGTGTAGTTTTATTGAGCTGCGCATACACACCCACAAGAATAACATTGATCTGAAAAAAAAAACGCTTTCTATAAACCCAAAGCATTATTATATTTAATTTTTTATCATAGATAGATTAAAATAATCCCTCTGTAAAATAATATTTAGAACTTGGTGAGTTACTTCCAAATAAACAAAATCTTTACGCTATAACGTTTTAATTCTTGTGTCTGTAATTTCTTAAATGTAATGAGAATACAATGTTACTCACCTCCCAGTTGTAAGTAAAATGCAGCCTAAAATTGCACTCGCCCAAACATAAATATAGAACGGATGGCCAAATTGTTCTTGAGTCACTGTTTCAGTAAGATTATGCATGGTAATTGCGGTCCTTAACATAGTGCCAACTATGGTGAGGTTCGGTGCCATTGTACTCGATGGTATGTCTTCCGTAGGTAACGTAATATTTTCAAAGGCGTAAGTTCCATTATCAATACTATCATCTAATGTAGTGTTTCCATTTTCAGTGATGTTTAATGATCTCATGGTATTTTCTAAATGTCTCGTTTCTACATTGTTCATCCTAAAAAGTAGATTATTGTTTAATAGTAAATTCTGATAAAACTTCTTATGGAATGTTATGGCAATAGATCAATTAACAAAATCAGAATAGGGCTCAGGTGGCTCAGTAGCAGTGCGTATGTTCAGAACATACGCACTGCTACTGAGCCTTGACTGAAATCTCAGATTCGAAATCGGGGAAGCTTAATGATTATTATCTTCAGAAAAAATACATACATACATAAACTCACACTTTTTCTCATATGGGTTGGGCAAATTTAGAGCCCGCATCTTACTTAGGTATATGTAAGTCATATGTTATGAGTGATTACACCAATCATACAAGAACGCAAGTTTCTACCTTAGAAACTTAAACTTCTGTTCTAACATATTCATAAAATCACTAATTGATACATAACTATTGTAAGAGTCAACTGCGGCCTTTTGTCTTTAGTTGCTTTATGTTGGAGGTAATTCTTCGGTCATGAGCGAGTCATGGAATAAGATGTGATGGCCATGGGTCACGGCAAGCGCTTTTGGCGTTGCTGTTGGTAAAGATTTCAGTGCGGGCCAATCGCAACGCTAAACGCAGTCACCGTGACGATCGAGTTGATGTGAAATTAACTCACACCAGACCCTCTGATCAGCTGGAGTTATTTCTAACAGCCCCCAATCTCTCCATACGAGCAATTTCTCTTACCCACCTTCGTCCCTTCTTATTCCACCTTTTCTTTCAATAGGTTCTTATTTTTCCAATCTAACCCCTAAGGTGCTCGGTTGACGGCAATAGGCTTGCCTCCTTTTACGTAAGTGGGACTAAAATCAAATCTGGCAAAACGTAGGTCTCTAACAGGTCTGTGCCTACCTTTTCAGGAATATAGGCGTGCGCGTATGCATGTATGTCTACCGGACGGTAGCTATAACGAAAGTCGTGTACTTTGTAATTGTGCGTCGTAATAAACTTACGTATACTCGTACCTATAAGCTGCAAATGTTAGAACAAAATTGATTTGAGTTTCTACTACAAAACGACTACATACACATTTTCAATTCAATTCAATTCAATTCAAATTATTTATTTCGGACTATTACATCCATATAGTGTTAGTAACAATGTGTTTTAAAAACTAGTGTTAGTATTGAATGATATTATTATTATGTATGTCAACATTATGTTATGTTAACATTATATTTATTCGTTTATTATTGTTTTTTTATTTTACGAGGATGGAAATCCACCTCTGAATAAGGGCAGAATCCCATCTATCTGAAAAAACATTCAGGATGCGGTTGGAGGAGGAGCGCAAACGCACCAGCATGGAGGCGTAACGTTTCCGCATTATAGCGGTGAAACCGTCGACCTGTGCCTCTGCGAACATGACTGACGCGCTACATCGCCATGGCGACCCCAAAAGCACCCTGAATGCATTATTATACTGGACACGCAGGTCGTTGTAGCCCTCTGCGTAAACTTAGTCCACAGGGTGCAGCATTTTACAGTACATTTTTACTATTTAAAGGTTTAGTGTTGTTGTTTTAATACATGCTTACAGCAGGAACTGCGCACGGTCTCTAAAAGCGTGTTGCACTCGCTTTAAGAGGACGTGCGCAGTTCCTGGCGATTACGTCATAGTGTCATGAAATAGTGTTAACCTAACGGCTATAGATAGATAGATAGATAAGGTTTTAATAGTAACTAAATGAAATAGAGATCTTAAAAGGAATATCATGTGTTTGTGTTCATACGAATAATGTACTATCAGCACTCTTAAGAGCTGCACGGATTATTCAAGTAGGTACGACTTGTCATAGTTATAACATAAATAACTTAAATCCACTGTCATTTCCTATATTGCGATATCTATATATAAAAGTGATAACACGAGACTTAATGACTACCTAAAACAGAGTGGGCTGTGATTACTTCACTGTCAGTAGTTATCATTGTTATTCTAATCACGCGTCATGATAACATAACTATACATTATATAACAACGTTACATAAAAAGATTATACAAATAAAATACATGATTCTGAAGACTGTAGTTGGTTGTTAGATTATAAAAGTGCATACATACTTGTAAAATATACACGTTTATATGGTTTTGATGCCGAAATGTCCTTGAAATTAGTTGGTTACCTACTGTAAATATCGCGTTTGCTATAGATGACTAAATTTGACCTGCGTAATATGATTACAACAAAGTTACATAACATCAAGTTTTATGTTATAAAAACTACTTTTTCACACTAAGGGCTTCATTGACTTATACTTTCGACTAGTAAAAAGACGCAACAACAAAAAAGTACAAAAATATTTCAGGAATTATTTTATGGTAACAAGATCATATGTTAGAGTAAAAATAAATAAATGTAACATAAGTCGAAATATGGCTTTTTGATGCCTGTATAACACATAACGTACTAACCATAATGTCAGCCAAAGATCGCTAAAAGACGTGACTACTTGAGCCAAGATAATAGCGACCGTAGTGCCCAGTATTAGCGAGTAACTACCTCCAGCTCTGAAGTACTGAAGATATACAGCTCCCGGAACTCGGCCTGTCGCAATGAATAATTCAAACTTTATTGTAATGAAAAGTGGGTAACTTTTTATTAAATTAAATTACCGCAATTAGTGAAGTTAAAGAGTTTAGTTCCATTCATCGCGGTAATTTAGTTTACAGGCAAAAAGCAGATGTTAACATTTTCTTCGGAAGCTCATAATAAACGTTAAAACAATGGACAAAATATTTAGGAAAAATAAATAAATATAAGAATAGGATTGGCCAATCATTGTTTTGTAAAGTTTCGTTATCCTATCATTCTAAATCTTTGGAAAGACGTTTACTACTATGCTTATCTGAAATCCTTCTTAACGTTTCATTCAATCCGAAAAACTATAAGATAGATCGTTAGAATAAAAGTTTGGTGGTGATTATTGACTGACTTCAAGAAAATAACATCATCATCAACAGCCTTTAGTAGTTTACTGCTGGACATAGGTCTCTCCTTGGAAAGGAGGTATTGGCCTACTATACCACGCTGGTCAGACGGGATAGTATAGGGTTTGTGTCAAGTTTTCCTTATTTTTTCAAGGTGTTGCGTAGTTTACTGCCTGAAGAGGTGTGAATGAAAAGAAAAAAGTCACCTGTTGCCGTTAGTTCCTCAGTCTCCTCCGGCTGAATCATTTCTGGTCCTCCACCATCTTGTAACGTGCTCGTCGTACTCGTATGTGACTGAAATAACAGGCACGTACAATGTAACGCTATGCTTTTTCCTTCACCGCTACTTCTCACGACAAGTTAACAAATATGACGTGAAAATAACTATTAAAGATTAGTAATCGTTACTATAGATTCTAATATTATATTCCATCAATTTTAACCCTAACTACCTATGTAAGTTTCCATGCATGGATAACAAAAGAGTTTTGCGAACAATTTGATAGTAAAATATTTTACAAAGTGACACAACTAATAACGTATCAATATTAAGTGAGTTTTCGCGTCTATGTGGTTTATTCGTTATTTCTTCTATTAATAACAAACATAGTTTCTTCGGAATAGTTAGCAATACCTTGGCAACATGTAACTACTCTTAGTAGTTTGACGACCGAATGGCGTAGTGGTTTGTGTAACGGACTGCTATTCCAAAGGTCGGGGGTTCGATTCCCGCTCAAGTCAAACATTTGTGTGCATGAACATTTAATGTTTGATTTGGTCTGGGTGTTTCTATGTATAATAAGTATTTATTTACAAAAAAATAAAAAAGTATATATGTATTTATATCAGTTGTCTAGTACCCATAGTACAAGCTCTGCTTAGTTTGGGACTAGATGGCGTTGTGTGAATGTGGTACAATATTATTATTATTATTATTAAAAGTAAAAGAAGAAAAGTGAGGCATTGCCGCAAGTGTTATGATGCAAGCATCTAGTGTTACAGACGTTTATTTAAAACTAGTGATGACCAGTATTTAAGAGAACACCTTTAATTTGTTTAAAATAACAGTGAGGAAAAATTAAAACACGATTAAATAAGAAACTAGAATTCGAAAATTAATTTGAATTCAGTCCTTGAGGATTCAAATGCGGTTTCATACAATCGAAGTGCTACTGCATTGCTTTGTGACGTTTCCGTTGTCTTAGCATTGGACATTATTATTCAAGAAACAAAAATTACGTGATATTTGCCGAAACCCTCCCTTTCCCCAACATGAGATTGTAAAATTCCTTTCAACCCTTTCCATCTTAAGCTCTCGCCTAGTTAATGGATAAGCAGAGAAAAATACATTATTCAATGGATATCAACCTAACTTAATAACTCACCTGAATAGAAAGTGTTCTCTGTCGCAAATACTTCGGCCTAGCAGCTTCCTCGGGCTCGTCCTCTTGTAGTAGCTCGTTGAAAAGAGGTGATTGGGACACCTCATCGAAATTACCTTGAGTCTCCATTTCGCCCTTAACAACAAATGAACATCTAAATATATTCCACCATTACATAATTAGTAAAACAGCTATATCTGCTTGCGAGATAAATGCCCTTATAATTTTTTTTTATTATTATTATATAAAAATATTCTTAAATCACTAACATCCGTTTCAAATAACCGGAACAAATTAGCGATTGATATCAATTCCAGTGTAAATTTGTAATTAAGAGTTTTGTGAAAATTTATAAGTTACTTAGAGACGTTTTAGTAAAATAATAATACCTCATTTTTATTTTAAAAGTTTACTTAAAATACACATGTAATTATTTTTTATGTTTACACATTACTGATACCTTCCTACAGCGAAGATGAATGCTTGTGTTAGTAGTAGGTTCAGGACAGCAGAGTACTGGCTGGGTTCGAACTCAAAGCTACTAGATCGCGTGTCCAATGCCGTGAAGCTATTTGCGCCATTCATTCTGCATTATCACGCTACCAGGACTACGTGGTACGTCAAAATTACTACAATATTTATGCACCCATTTCATTGCAGATTAAACAATATCTATCGATAGATAAGATGCCGTTGTCCATAAATTGTAAGTTTCACACGCTCCTAGTAATCCAATGACATTTTTTATCGCATTCTGATTTCTCATTGAGGTAAAACAACGTAGATGATTTTTATTGTAGGTGATCAGTAGCACGTTTAAATAATTAAAAAAAAAAATAGAGATTTATTGTACCCGTTACAATTATGCAACAAAGGGCTACATGAAGTTACAGGGGCTTTTTTTACGGGGTGGAAAATCCCTTCGGATCTCCTGCTCCTCGGGGCTAGGAGCTAGGAGTATGTGGTGATTCCACTAACCCCCCCTCCCCCCCTCCCCGACGGCCGGCTTCAGATGGCCCTACTCTGAGAGGACCTGAACCATGTTATTTCAGGTCCTCCCCGAATTGACACCATGCCTAGTCAGGCCCTATCCAGGGAAAACACTTTCCCATAAGTTACAGGGGCCTAGAATGACAATTGAAATTACAGTGGTCTATATATGTAAATGGTTTAAAATAAAGTCACCTTTTTGTGTGTTACGCTTAGATCTTTTAAACTAAACGGATTTTAAAGCGGATTTCACCAATAGAGAGAACGATTTAAGTGAAAGGTTTCAATGCCTAATGGATGCGTATTATAATATGAACCTATTATGCATTCTGAAATTTTTAAAATTCTCGGAATTTCTCTACTATACATAGTAGAGAAAATCCGAGAATTTCAAGGATTTGTTGTAAAAACATGTTTTTGTGCGCTTACATTGCAAACGCTGGCTAAACCTTACGAGATAGATTAAAATAATGTACTACATAACTGTATATCTTAAAAAGATCTACAAAAAGTCCATCATCATCAATCATCATCAACAGCCTATACTAGTCCACAAAAAGTCCGCGATGGTATATTTCTATCTCCTAAAAAACCCACAGTCACCATTTATTTTTTAATATTACAAAAAATAATGGGTTATTTATGAAGCTATTTTAAACAATACTTTATTATTCCTCATCCAATTAAAAACGTTAGATACGTTGTGCATTTAATGTAGATTACAGCATATCATTAAAATGTATATTTTAGTGGCTATTAGAGGCTAAAATGCGGGGCCCAACGACCGTCGAGCCGCACGTCCATCCCGAGTGGCAGCATAATATGCATATAATATATAAATATTGCATTTAAAGATTTATAGTGTAGTCCTATCATAATACTAGTATAATTTATTCATTCACACTGACACCACATTAATAGTATTAGTAGTATCTACATAGCACCCGTGCGAAGCCGGGGCAGATCTCCAGTTATAAAATAAACCGTTAACCAAAACCAAACTTACTAAATCATGACCCAAATTCAACGACCACGTAATCTCTAGTACTAGTATGTACAAATGGCACTCAGAGTAATATCTCATTAGTTACAATAGTATACTGTACTGTGTAAGTATACTGTGGACACAAAGCCTAAATTGATGTCACGTGACAAGAAACGAAAAAAAAAGAAAGCCCGTTATAATGTAAAAGATGTAAACGTATAGATACTACATACTTAGTCAGTACCCAAGAAATTGATAAGAACTTTCGTTACAAAAGGCCGCCGCGTCTCGAGTTTATAGTTTAATTTGATGTGTTAAACCTCAATGTTAAATAAAAATGCAATAAAAAATATCACTGGATTACTAGAAGCGTGTGAAACAAGAAATTGCTTCGAAAATCCGAGTTTTTTTTTTAAATACGAGTTCCGACGCGGCACGAAATATCAACGCTGCGTTGGGAGAGGAGAGCGTTGCGTTTTTGGTGTAAACGCTTTCGTAATGGAAACTTTGACTTGAAGAACGAACAACGTGGAAGACGAATAAGGTGGTAGCCGACCCGAGTCAAACTACCCAGGAATGAGCGGCATGGTTTAACATTACCCTACCTACAATACTGACTCATTTACATCAAATCAATAACATAAAAAAATATAAAAAAGGGCCTTGTGATTTGAATGATATGCAGAAAAAAATGCGCGTTCAACTTGTGATATCTTGTTGAATTGGTACATAAATAAATATTTTATCGAATTGTGACATGTGACGAAAAGTGGATTGTTTACCGTAAGCGTACCGTAAGCGATAACCGTAAGCGAAAAATGCAATGGCTGCCAAAGCTTACCAATAAAACGGTAATGGTAACTGTTTGGTGGTCTCTTCATGGTGTTATTCACTATAGCTTTGTCAGGTCTGGTCAGGCAATAAAGCAGATGTTTACTATGCCGAACTTCGAACAATGATGGCGAAACTGGAAGGGAATCATCCTCGACTCGTGAATCGATTTTCACCATTATTGCTCCATGATATCGCAAGACCTCACACTGCATGAGAAACCATTGTAATTCTACCGGAGCAGCAGTTAGAAACCATACGCCCTCCGTACTCACCAGACCTTGCTCCAACGGACTACCATTTTTTCGTGATTTGGACAATTTTCTACGTGATATATGTCAGGGTAATAATTTTCTTTCCCGGAGGCACTACAAAATGCTTTCACACAGTTTTTCGAATCTAGATCCCCAGAGTTCTATCATAAAGGCATAAATGAACTTCCGTTTGGATGGCAGCAACGTATAGATAATTATGAGGGTCAATATTTTTTTATTAAATAAATATGTTACATCTTAGAAAAAAAGCGAGTTTCAACTTTGCAGTACAAATCAGCAATTTCATACTTTAACCCCTAATGCGAAATCATAGAAGTGTTTCATTAACATTTCGTGTGCACTCACTTTGCACTCACTTTGCCATACTGTAGTCTAATATCTCAATGATATTTATAAAATAAAAACTAACAGACATAATGTAATACCATTATGTCTGTTGGTTTTTATTTGCAAAAGATATGATAAACGCATATGATCATGAAAGATAAGTATTCATTTCTTTTGATAACCCAAGCAAAACCTTTTTACTTAGGGCGTGTATGATCGTAGGACCATTATTAACATGTGGGTTCACGAAACTTAAAATTTTATGTTCATGATATCAAACACTAATTAACAGATATTTAATTAAAATTGAAAGGAATTAAAATTAAGCATACCATTATTAATAAAAAATTACTTACATTTCGTAAAATGATTATTTTGTCGGCAGCCTTGAGGTGATGCAACTGATGTGTGACAAGGATCCGGGTTGAGTGGCGCAGGAGGCCGAGCACACACTCCGTTACCAAGTGCTTGCCAACATGTGTGTCCACTGCCGACAGTGGGTCGTCCAATAGGTAGATATCAGCCTGAATAACGACGGGTACATTTAATATTGTGTTCATGCCCCAGAGATTTATCACTATATTGCTAGAAGAATGTAATACAATGTAAATCACAACATACGCTTAGAGATAAAGACAATATGATTTCACTTGCATAACATATGTTATATAATATCGAGACCTCGATTAAGTGCAGCTAATAGATAAAAAAAATCTATGTATTTACAAGTGAGGACCGGTATTGAGAGACCGGTGAGAAATTGATATGTAGGTTATGCAAATGTTTTCACGCGTATTCAATGCTCACTTTCGAAAGCTCTATTTCTGTGAAATATTAGTTAGGGCTCCCCTAACCTCACTCATTAAAAACCCTTAAGTATCTAGTCTACTGGCTGAACATAGGCCTCTCCTTAGAAAGGAGGCCACACTGGTCAGACCTCACTCACTCGAAGGAAAGCAACGAAAGAATTGCTCAACACCGGTTTTCTGTAATGGTTATTACTCAGACCATTTGGGCCTTCTACATGTGCCGAAACATAGCTATCTCACGCAATAATTATATTGATAGGTAACTCGAAATTTTATATATAAACCCGTCATGGCGCAATTGTTCATATCCGAATTAAATTAAATCATATTTTAACTGTTCAGGTCACGTGAATAACATTGTTAGTTTTCTGGTTCTCTTTCCATGTTCAATGTCACTTAGTATTTGTTACAATTATTACAGTAACTTATTTGTCTACAAATTTTTTACTGTAATAATTGTTTCTCTGTGTGATAATGTCAACATATAATTATAATGTAATCAAAATGTCACTGTTTCAATCACTACTACTTATTGTTTGTTTTTACTAATTACTTATTGTTTTTTTTGATAGCCATAATAACTTAGATAATATACCTATCAAGATAGAGTAATCCAAACGAGTACATTACTGTGTGCATGTTCAAAGCCTGATCTAAATTATTTACTGACCTTCTATCTATTATACATGAAGATGAAGAATTCTTAAAATAATGATTTAAAGAGTAAATAATTCATTACAGAATTTTATATGCGACCCGACTCCGCCCTCCGAGAATTAGGAACGGAAGGCAGTCTTAGTTTGTTACGATTAGGAATTATACGAGTATATTTTAACTACGCTTAGTACTGCGTGATGTTTTATTCATTACTTTAAATAATCATTGTTTTAATATGCTTTTCTGGAGTTTATGTTTACCTTGTGTCGATGGTTACCACAAATTTAAATATGTATTTTCAGAATACTAATCTAATATCCTATCCTAATTTATTATTCAAGCCAAATGTCCTTCTCTCATCATATGAAATCGCTTCGTTAACCGAGACCTGGCTGCTGGAGGGTATCTGTGACCATGAGTTGTTTGAGAGATTTGTCGTTTGGAGGCGGGACAGGGATTATGTGGCGACCGGTGAGATGTACGGAGGTAGGGTGCTTCTAGCTGTACGTCGCAGAGAGTTCGCTACTGTTGAGCGCCCTGAATAGCGTTCTACAGAAGAAGATATTTGGGTTACTATTAATTTAAAGCATAGAACAGCTCTTCATAGTTTGATTCGATTACACTTATTGCAAAGAGAAGTCTGGTAATTCTTTTAAAAAACAATTGCAGAACTTTACCTAATACCTTTCGTTAATTGAGAACTCTCATCCAAATGATTTATTTTTGGAAATAGGCGACTTCAACCTAAGTCATATAGACTGGTATGGTGAACCGAGTAACTTGCAGGCAAACGAGATAACTGGTATATTTTAAGCATACTCTTTTGATACCTTATCTGAATGCGGCCTCAATCGATATAATCTTGGCAAAAACACAAATAGTAGAATACTCGATTATATAATATTTAACCACTAAGTAACTGTCGCGTCATGTAGCAACTCCTTATAGTGCCTGAAGACTCTCACCACAAATCTTTAGATGTTACCGTTAAGCGTTCGAAAGCTACCCCGCTATAAATATTGTTATGAAAAAGGGGCTTTGAAGCTATTACATTATCACTGTAAACATACATTGGCATACATGTTTAAACAATATCGCTTTAGAAGACGCAGTAGATACATTGTATAAACACCTTCCAATCGATACCCCAAAAATTATTTTTTTCTAATTCTTTCAAACTATATGAAACAGTTACCTCAATTATAATTTCAGAACGCATGGTTTCCTTAGACAACGATCAACGTTATCAAATTTAATACTTCTTACCTACTTCTTACGGACTTTACGTAATCAAATATGGATGTCGGTGGACAGGTTCATGCAATTTTTACTAACTACAGTAAGGCATTTAACCGCATTGAATAGACCATAAAATACTTTTACAGAAACTGCTTTTCGCGGGACTATTTCTAAACGACGTCAGCCACTGTATAAAATATTCAAAATTTTTGCTTAATGCCGAAGATATGAGGATATTTAAAAACCTAAATTGCTTGAATGGCTGTCTATAAAAAAAATATCTTTTTAAGTTTTATTAGCAATATTTGCGCCCCATCAACTTCCCGATCAGCTATATGATTTTTTTTTTATTGATTTTATTAGAAAAGTGATTAATTCTTTTATGAAATAATCGTTTTATTTACACAAAACGTTCTAGATGATTTTTTTTTTCGTCGGGGTCGATTTTTTTCGGACTCATCATCGCTAGTCCTATCGTATGTCTTCGTTTCCGAGAGCCGTTTATACCTAACATCCTGTATTTTGTGTAATAATATGTGGTTGTTAAATACAATTTACTTCTATCACTATATTTACACATAATATGATGCAGAAAGATTTGATATTTTCATATCACAGAACTGTTTATCACAAAATAGTGTCAATACCACAGCTATTCGTTGTATAGATGCCACTACGGAATCAGTTGTGTACACAACTTTTATGATGGTATTAGATAGTATGTTGCTTAGATAAAAAGCTTACACATAATTTGTTCACGTAAGTAGGCACTTCAGCAATACAAACACGTAATTCTAAAATTATCGCTTTTGTATCTTTATTTAAATAATCAGTTACCTGTGATCAGTAAACACTATGAATTATTTTTATACAATTTTTGGCCCGCTCAAACTTATGTTATTATTGTCATTTATGCATTTGGCACAACTCATTATAAAGATTACAACAAGGGATCATATCAAATCGAAGTTTATCTAACGACGAAAATTGACTCAATTAAAAGCTAGATCGACTATAACCTCAGGGGTTTTTTTTAGGGAATAGGGGGCAAACAAGCACACGGGTCACCTGATGGAAAGCAACTACCGCCGCCTATGAACGCCAGCAACTCAGGAGTCACAAGCGCGTATCACAAAAGATATCTCATGGAAGTTCGGTTCCAATACATGTAAAATTTATTTAGACGTTGAATCAAGAAAGAAGAATGTTTCGTAGAAAAGCCGAAGCCAAGATGCTAAGGCTACGTTGGCGTTTTTCTCCAAAAATGATTTTTTATAATGCTACATTAAGAAACTAAAGTTAAAGCAGAATTTCATTTAAAATATCGACACTTGATGTCGATATTTTAAATGAAATTCTACCTGCGTTACCGAAAATTACAGGGTTAAAAAAGATGACAAATGATATCACAATGAGTTACATTTTATCGAAAACAATTTAATAAATACCAAAAAACTGCAATGTAATTAATCAAACAGCCGAAGCGCGCGGGGCCTTTCCTCCGGCCGCCATTTTGTGTTAGTATGCGTACTGTTTGCACGGAGTACACATGTACTTGTTTCTTTTGTGCGATACCTACGGGGAATGTCCTTAACCTTTGCTGATACACTATTTCAGTATTCGTTACGACGGCCCTTACACCGTGTATATTAATAATAGTTCACAATACAGTATATAAACAATTCTGTATTTAGTTTTTATAAAAGCTTTAGCAACCTGTCTGTAACAAGCTCTTGCCAGTCCAATGCGTGCTCTCTGTCCACCACTGAGGCTGATGCCGCGCTCTCCTACCAACGTGGAGTCACCTGCGGGAAGTTGCTCGAAGTCTCGCACCAACGCACACGCGCTCACTACCTTCAAACCAAAGTTAACGTTCGTTTTTAAAAAAGACAATGAAGTAATATGTCATCACATCTTCCAAAGCTTTATACAATGCTATACATATAGGATTAAGAGTTATCTTGTATTAAAATTCCTGTTCAAATCTCACTTAATTTATTTTAAAATGGGAAAACCCACTTGCAGTTCCTCTGAATTTCCCCAATATCGGATATTTTATTGGGACAATAAAAAGTGGGACACTATTTATTTATCAACATTTTCTGCAATCGATACCCTGTCTGTAAGTCAGACACTAATCAACGTTATTTTAACGGAATACGAATAACTTTTAGGGTAGATAAATAGAAATTCAGGCTTGTAATATCTATTTATTACTACAGCTTTGAAAGATATAGAATCTATAACAATTAAAGACGTAAGTGCTAGCTTACCTTTTTATAGCGCACTCGATCATAGGGCAGACCAAAAAGTATATTCTCTTTTACAGAAGCTACGAACAGCCAAGGCTCTTGGCTGGCGTACGAGACACGTGCATCGCCCAGGGACACCGTTCCTTGGGACGGGGTCAGCTCTCCTAATATGACTTGGAGGAGCGAAGACTGTAAAGTAAAGAAAACATTCAACTTCTTTTCATTTATAACTCACTCACTCGCCAGACATTGTCGAGTTCAAATTACAACACACTCAAGAAAAAAAAACAATTTCAGTTTGCCCAGTTTTCCAATCTTTTTCTACACATTTTTTTTCTCAATTTTTTCTTTTCCTAAAAGATTATGTGAAGGTATTAGGAATATCAACGGGTTTTCATTTGCTCTTTAGAAATTAGCAAACATTACAAAACCAAAGTACGGCATGCACAGCTTATTTTGCTTATGTCGAATCTGTCCTTCGATATGGACATGGGATGGATGGATCGATGGGACAATATCTCAGAGGTTCAGAAGGTTCTTATTGCTCAGAAAAGATGCATAACATCGATAATGTGATCCAGACGTATCATGTTGACATTTTTTTAAAGAATTAAATATAAACCTTTTGACCTGCCTTTATAGTATAACCAACAACCTCAGGTGTTTACTTATTACTCAAGCAACCTAGGCAGGTTCTAGACATGGTACCATAAAGTAGTCGGCTACAGAAAAATCTCCGTTAGTGGTTTATGCAAAACAATTTTCACTCTTAAGGAATTTCTAAAAAATAAGGAGTTGTAAGAATAATAAATGGCAAAAGCAAGAGCCCAATTTAAATTAATTTACATTTTACCTATATACGAGTATTGATTAATAATTTATATGTATAAAAGTAATACGTGTCGTATGTAGGTATTTGATCAGATTTAAATACTTATAAAACGGGTTTACAATTGAGGTCTAAAAGACATTTCCATATTCGACATTTAGCAGATTAGTAGTAACATTTGAAATGGCTAAATAGACTTGTACTTCTTTGTGTAACTTATAAAGCCTTCAGTATACTTTATCCAACTCCGCCAAAGCTCCGCAGTGCGCCAAATGTAGGCCGATAACTAGACATGAAAATTATTGCTACTTTTAAATCATATTCATTTTATGAAATTATTGGTTTTAGTCACACTGATTTCACATTTAATTATGATTTCGTCATGGACAAAGATAAGCGGCATTAAAATCAATCAAAATTCTTTTTATCTAAGATTACGATATATTTTTTATTAGGCCTTTCGCGAGTCTTGCGCTAGCGTTATAAATAATAATTAAGTAGAAGTGGTTTTGTAAATCAGTAACAAGTGTAAAGAAATGCTTTATAAATCGTATGATTTATCACATGTGATTGTGATTTTATTGCATCCCTACTGACAACGCGCAGGTGTTTACACATTGGCGCATAGCTCATTGTTGCCTGGCGCTGGCGCGCCATTTGCGATGGACGTGGAAGTGACTTTTTGACGTGACAACGTCTTATAAATTGGTTTGCCGGGTGATACTTCAAGAAACTGCGTTACGCTCCGCTCACGTTATGCGCTCACAATGAGAGCGAGTGAGAGGCACGCGTCCCTTTTTTAAATATAATTCTTTGTATAAATAAATGTTTTAAATTGTTACTATTATTTCATCCTTCTTCCTACTATACGAATGAATATTCACATTAAAATTATTTTACCACTCAAAGTCGTTGTCACGTAAAACTTTCGCCCGTATACCGACTTTACAGGCAACCAATTTTTTTTTTTTAAATATTAAATTAATTATTTTTAAATCATATTTTATGTAGAACAGAGTAAATAATCGTAATCAAATAGACATTTTAATGTGTATGATATTGAATTATTGCAAAATTACATTATTCTCTAAAACTACAAAGCGAAAAACTTACTGATTTCATGAAATAATTAAAATGGAAATTTTAGAAGTACAACCGCGTTTAAACGACAAAGCAGCACGTGTATGCAAAAGTTTTATTTATGTTGTAGAAGACTACATGAAATACAATAATGCACATAAGGTTTCATTGCTAACACTTTTGAACATAACGAAAAAAAAAATTTTCAATTTTGCTCCATATTTTTTTTTACCATGTTACACTGAAAATATTAAAAAAAATGTACCTAACAAATGTTGTTTTACGTCAGATTTCCTGTCCTATAGATTTTTAAGCCAGTTTGACGACTTTTATGTGTAAGTCCACTATTTTTTAAATCCACTGTGTGGCGTAGTGGTCTAAGCGGTCGCCACACCGCTTCCTACTATGCCGAATGTTGAAAAATTAACTCAAACCCCACAAGGGACGACACTTTTATATTATATTTTTAATTTAATCTACTACAGTGTGTAGTAATAAATTATAAGTAGTTTAATAAACTAAAAACACTCTTGTCTAACTAGCCGAACTGAAAAGTAGATTTTTTTTATAAGTTCAAAAAGAAAAAGTTATTATTAATATTGATATAATATTAACTTTACTTTTACCAATATCGGTCAATAAAATATTTTTATAACAATTCACGCTTTGTGTATTATCGAGTATTGTATTGTAAAGCGTAACATTTAATAAAGCGTAGCAAAGCATTACATGTGCTAATGTACCTCTTTATCGCAAACAAAGATTTCTTTTCTTATACTTATAATAACTAATTTTCACTTTTCGTAAACGCGTAGGTACAAGAATTTAAATAATATTTTCAATTTTAATTGTAGTCTGGCTGTTTAAAAAGATCAAGAACCTGCTAACCTGCTAGATAATTTTAGGTTAACAAATTTATAATTTTAGGTACTTCATTTACTATTTTCGGTTTTTTAATAAGTTTTGTATTTTCTGTCCACGTTGACAGCACTTCAGCACTCAACGCCGCGTGCAGCGATAAACTTATTATTTACGCACTTAGTTCAAGTACCTATTTGCACTAATAAATTAATATATTCCAATTTATTAGACTAAATTACAACTTTGCAATATGTGGCTGATTAGCCAGCTCGGCTTACCTTTAATTTTATTTTTTCTTTATTGCCTGGTAAAATAGGCGTATTTAAATCGCTTATTTTATTCTTTGCATATTCTGTTTCAGTTATACCCTATTCATACATATATGGGATCCCATTATCCCACAGTTATCAAGGAGGAGGAGTAATATAGGCTATAAAACTACACCAATGGACCATTAGGAGGAGACCTAAAATGCAGAGATGTAACCAGTGAGTGACTGTTACATCTCTGCATTTTGCTCTGTAAATAGCTAACTTGTAGCAGTAATACGATTGATTGTAGCATATTGTGTTAAAAATTAGTCATCACTTGCTTTAATGGTGAAGAAAAATGTCGTGAGAAACCCAGCATGAGCATTCTTACCAGATAATGTAATTATTATACTCACTTTGCCAGAACCGACGAGACCAGCTATGCCTATAAACTCTCCAGGCTGGGCGGTAAAAGATATATTCCTTAACGTATTCACAATCGCCTCAGGTTGCCAACTGGCACTCATTCCAGACAGGACTAATGCAGTAGGCCTTGGTTTTTCCTTCTCAGTTCCATTGCTCACAATAGCTTTTGGATCTATAGTCTTCACAACTCCTAACCTTTCTGGTTTCAATTCGTCTAACAGCAAAAATTCCTAAAAAACATATTGATGATACAATGTTAATGTAAACATTTATGGCGCTAGAATTTTGTTAGTTCCGTCACTACTAGACTGTCGAAAACGATACTCATGCCACCTTAGAGAAGGTGGTTACTCAACCAACATTTACCATGTCTTAAAAGTTGTAAACTAAAATACTAATTTAGTGCTTTTAGAGCACTTAGTAAAGACTACAATGGATTTTGTTACTGTTTAAAGTGAAAATTTAAGTGTTATAAAGAAGTTATTAATTTACCTAAATAAAAATAATTAAAACACAACTGAGTTAATTGAATACAATCGCCAATATTCTTTTTTCATCGTTAAAAGAAGTTACGAGAGAATAAAGAAAGTCACATACATACATGATAATAGAAAATATGCCACTTCTTAATTCATTGGGTAGTCACAGTTCAATTTTGCAGTTTAAACGGAAAAGTATTGTAAAAAAATACTATTACCATTTGTATAAAGCACCTTTATGGTAATTTATTCATGTTAATATCGGTTTGGGAATTATCGGGTTTCAAATTAAGAGGTATCTGTTAATTTATTTTTCACTTGATGGCAAATGAATGGCGTTACCCATGCACACAACACATGTAACTCACGAGACACGAGCCCCATAATGGAGTTGAGAGGGGGGTATTTGAGTTCCGGTAATTCCGCTCATTCGGTAAAAAGCAACGAACTTAACAGGTCTTAGATCTAATGGTGTAAAAACTGTTTATTCGTTTAACCATTTATCAGTAAAAACATATGAAAAGCGAGCTCGGCGCATACTGATAACTTTTTAGCGAATGTTTTATGAATTAATGTATTGCAGAATAGTTACACGGAACATACATTAAAAGAAGTAACAGTTTGCTTACCTCAAGACGTCTTATGGACACTTTAGTTTCAGCCAAGTACGCCAAAGCCAGCGGGAAAAATATGTTACAAGCTAGTTGCATCAAATTGAAATATTGAACAAGCGAAAATGTAATTTCAGCTCTGATTTCACCTCCAATAACGACGAATGCCACTACGGCAGCAAATAAAATAAACCTCTCCGTAAACACACTTAAAGCCGTTGAGAATCCCTTGATCATGGACGTTCGCATTACAAAACTCACTTCCATCCTTCAGACAAAAAAAAATACAGTATTAAAATTCCTGTTAAAAGTAAGTAAATTAATGAACTAAGTAGATTTAAATTAAATACAAATAACTGCGCTAAACTACTTTCTGTTAAAAAAATGACAACTATCTGTGAAATTACTAATCTTGTGGATTAAAAAAATAACATTATTGTGTCAATACAAAAACCAGTATCGCATACAACAAAAATTTTGGTGCTTCTATCTATTTAGGAGTAAGATGAGGCATTGGGCTTTTAAATTTTCTGTTATTTATTACTTAAAAAAGGTAATGAACTACTGTCCTAGGTATTTAGTATTCGGGTTAGCATTCAGGTATTGGTTATTAAATTATCATTAATTATTATTATTCATATCGATAGTTGAAACTCACTTGCGCAACTTATCTACTAATTTCTCAAACGGTTTCTCCCAGCTGTACATTTTTATCACTTGAACTCCATTCACTAACTCGCTCATCACCTTAACCCTCTCATCCGTACGTTTTGCTATCTTGCCTCGTAAAACTCCTTGAAGGTTACTCAGATACGCTAAAAAAACAAAGTAATTTATTTACAATAATAATATGTTTAATGACTACTAGTGTTTAAGATTAATTTAAAATCGTATTTTTTATATTACTCTTCCGACATCCGTCGGGCGTCATGCAATTACTAAAATCTTTTGTGTATTAGAGTTAATTTTTTCTTCATTATAATAATAATATTTACTTGGTAGACAATTCACAACAAGAGATGTAATAGTTATAACAACAATCATAATTATTTACCTTGAACGATCACCGTTTGCAAAAATATAACGGTTAGAGCAGCAAAAACCGCCCATTTTACATGCTGCCATACTAGGAAAGAAACAACTGGTACTACGATGGGCATTACCCACAAGTAGTTCAGAAATAGTGACACGAAATCAAAACGATTAACATCATTGGACATCAGATTGATAACTTGTCCCGCCTCTGTTTTGCTTAAACCTGTACGGTCTAGTTTTAATATCTAAAAAGAAAAAATATTACAAAAGAGGTGTATTTTTTTATTCTATATCAAAATATATTATAATTACAGATAAAATCTATTAAATACCTCATGAATCACTATACCCGGATAAATCGCAGCGTATTGTGGTTTTCTCGTGAACATTGAAAAACTTAAACTCGTAAGCGTTTAATGAATAAGATTTGTATACCATAAGTAACATAACATTACTTTTAAAAGATCAAGGATCACGGTCATTTTTTTATCAGATACTTAGGTGTTTAATTCAAACGACCACATCTCGATTATGAACAGCAATGCAGTAAACTTCATCTTTTGCCCCTTTGTTTCCGTAGAAAAATAGCAGATATCTGTCTTATTTTAAATATAGTTCAAAGCAAGTTAGACTGTTCTGATATCCTTTGCAATATTAAACTTAATGTGTTTACCAGAAATTTGCGTTTCCGTAATCTAGGTACTCCACGCTGCATTTTGCTGCAGTAATTATCTGTATAATAGCTACCTACCAAGAGTTTCCAGTTAGTTTATAATAAACCATAATGAACTTATTGATCTATTCTGCAGTAGCAACAAAAATGTTATGTCTTTGGATAATAAATTCTTGCAATAATCCATGTTTATTTTAGCATGTATTCGATTTTACATATCATCACTCTCTTCTTTCTACATGTGGAAGCTTGTAAATGGTACTTAGAAAATTAACATAATACGCATGTTGTAAATTTAGCCGTAAGCTCCCCAAATACATTATTATTTATAATAAAAAAGTCAGAAAAAAAAAACTAATTGACATTAAGTATGTATCGGGACTGATCTGTGAAGCTGTGGCTTCATAGGTCATCATAATATGTTGTATGTAAAAACATTTTATACTCACTTTTCTATACAACAAAGAACAACTTGCTATTCTAACTCGCATTCCAACACGTCCTTGACTTAATCCTACGTGGTTCAGCAACAATGACGTTAGTATACTCAAAAAATTCAATAGAAAACTGTAAATATGTGCATTTCTATACGTCTCTGGCGTTTTATCTTCCGAGAAATAATTAATAAATAAAGCTAATGTGTATGGTATGAGTGGCCTGAAATAAAAACAATTAACAAGTTAGGTCAGTGATGTAAGATCTTGCTGTCGTCACAACTGTTTAAACTTTCAACTTATGACAAGAAGCCCATTTATCGTAATAAAAGTTCTGAAAAGGCCAATTCTGAGAGCTTAGAGCAAGTTTATTTCACTTCTACTCGCTTTCTACAGCGAGCGCGTTCGTCTTGGCGCTTGGGAGGTTGCGATTGGTGAAGATTTCAACTCGGGCCAATCACAGCGCAAAACGCGGTCACCGTGACGATCCCGTAGAAGTGAAATAAACTTGCACTAGGCCCTCAGTTCCGATCAGTTCTCGATCTCACAACTGTCATAAAAGGTATTTTCGTAGTAAAGTATTAAACATCCAACATTGAATGCAATGTGATTAAATCCTAATCGAAAATTGAATGGTTAATCTGTTAGGCTTAATAATACTTTACTATTTTACTACGAAAATACCTTTTATGACAGTTGCGAGATCGAGAGTTAACCGGAATTGAATTGTGATCAAACTTTTATTACGAGAATTGGCCTTCAGGTCGAGATAATAATTTGATTCATGATGTAGCAAAATCCCAATGTCACAAGAATTGTGCTTAGTGCTTGATAATGTTACATCTCCAGTACAGTACCTACATCTATTGCGTAAACGGCGATTTAAAATATTCAATACTTAAATAGAATACAAAAACTTTAATTAAATATATAAAATGTATGTGATGTATGTATTTAATTTAATTGTTGTTTTATATTTATGATTTAATTGTTATTAAAATAAAATATTATTGTTGTTACAAATGATATACTTTAATGTTACATGTAGTATAAGTGTATCACGCACTTGTTAGATATTGTAACATTACGGGTTGAAAACTGTAATGCTCGGTTCTTCTCACTCGCTGTTGTAATGAGCGAATATGAATATTTCAGGCAAATCTGCCCGATAAGAGACCGCCTTTTACTAAATATCCGTCTGCGAACACTAATCCATGCCACATTGTGGTGTTATTGACAACTGAGTGTCACTATTTGTTCTCAGTCTCGTTGTACTTTGTGTTTCTAAACTCGAGTTATAAATATGGATGACCTTTATTTGTTAAAGTCTAATAAACTAAAATCATTACAATGGTATGATTCATTAATGACACTTTAAAAAGATAATCAATATTTCAGTTTTTTCTGTGTAGGTACTATTTGATATTTTATTATTTGTGTTCTATATAAGCAATTTTATAGTCATCCAAGCTTCGGAATTAATTGTCAATTTATTGTGTCCTTCGGGCCTGAAGACGTGAGTGTGTATGTATTTTTGTGCTTCGTTCGGGACTGAAATGAAAGCAGTATACCCATAGCTTACTTACCATAGCACAATGAACAGCAGTCCGACTACTAAACCACAAAGCATGTATTCGTACCAAAACGATCGTACAATTGCTCTAGAAAATGATGGCTTGATGCCTTTTCGTTTAGCTGTATCAAGTTCATACTCCCACGCTTGCTCAAGGCGATCTCCAAGTCGACCTGAGTGGTCGCTTTCACTTGCCCTCCACAGGTCTTCTATTGTAATAGTTTGTTTGTATCCTCGGCGAAATAGACTGAAGCTCCATCTAAAAAAAAATTTAGTTAATGTTTTATTAAATGTACCCAACTTTCTTTGTATCTTGTTTTGTAATAAGAAGACTTCATATCACTTGTTCACCAACAATGCCTGCAAACTCTAAAAGTTTAGGTGTACCATTTGTTTTTTATACTTAACACACAAATACTACTAACTACCTAATTTGACATCCCTTAAGATATCATATCATATCCAAATAAATGAGTGCATCAGGATGAGTGTGAGCAGGCAGAAGTGGCCGGAAGTTGTGCGGCGTATCCTGACAGCTGCCAGAGAAGGAAGATATCATGTGTCCTATGAGGATACACACAATTAGATGCAATCAAGAAATAATATTCTTTATAATGTATATTAGTAAGATTTCATCGTGGTTTTCGTTAAGAGATACTTGTATACTATCCCTTAAGAGACAAAGTCCACTATAGATAAAACCATGCCATAGGTAAAATATTTCTTTATGTAGGTATACCATCAGTCGATAGATTCTTCTTCAGTAGTAGTGGTAGATCGTCATTCCTTATTTTTAAGGCATTTTAGCAAAAAGGAAACTACTGCCAATTTATTTTCACCCAAAATTTGACGTGGCTAGTTTTCACGTACATGCTAAATTATATTTTTCTAATGAACTTATCTTAAGTTAAGTCATACGCAAGTTAGTGTACTTCCTGTTTGTACTGTATTTATACTGTTATGGTGATATAATACCTGTTACTTTTCTGAAATTTGGTTTGTTGGTCAAAACTAGACAAGTCAAATTTTGAGCTTGAATTACATCCCAAGTGAAATTATTGCATTTAGTAAATAATTGTCTATTAAAATTTAAGAATTTATATTACCTATTAATTAGAATATATTGTGGTAGCACCAAGAAACAAGTAATTGTTATATAAATTTATTTTAGAATGTTGTATGTTCTTGTAACAACATTTTAGGATTTTCTACACAGAACTTGGCGCCCATTTAGATCCTAAGGCTCTTGTCAGCGAAGTCGACACCGACGCATATTTAGTATTGACCTTGGCTCTCAATTCACATTTATGTTTTGGAAGGGATACTATTACTTTTTGTACAGAAATTACTCTATTTTCCTACGTTTACGTTGTATAGTTTTCTTTTTTATAATTTTTTCCATATGTTCTTGCACCTTCGAAATATTAGAGTGAATTGTCCATTATCTGCAATTTTTCTTACATGTTTTCTGATTATTTTTAATTTGGCCAAGTTGGGTCGGTATAACGTGCGCAAGTATTAGTTGTATTTTACTTATAGAACTTTCTTGTGCCTTGATTTGACTTGGATCGAAAATAAAATTAAATTGAAAATAAAAAAATAAAATCACCTTTTCTTATAAATTCGAAACAGTTCTCGTTTTAATCAATAAAACTAACCATACACTCACTCATGGCGCTACTACTATTTTCATTTGCTTTACGAATATTACATTATCACTCCCTATTGTTTTTAATTTTAGGGATATAATGCAGAATGAGTACTTACTATTGATGACTAGCACTTTGTAAGTAAAACCACCTGTTCATGGGATTAAAACGATGAAACAATAACCGTGTATTTATCTAACTTTCATGCTTAAATTTGTTATTACTTTGTTGATACTAATTATCAATAATTTTCAGTTTTTAGATTTTTTCCTTTGTATAAGCCCAATAGTCTACCTTGATACCAAATTTGAAGTTTCTAGGTCATTTGGAATTGGGATGGTTTTTTATTTACTCGTAAGTAAAAGTCAGTCATAAAAATGCCGGTTTTAAACGTTAATATATCAATAACTGTTAGAGCAAAATTCATGAAATTTTGAATTCTAGGCAAACTCTTTAATAAGGATCTTTAATAAATGTGCCAAATTTCATATATCTAGGTTAAAAAGTTTCGATTTGTAAAGTGGTCAGAAGTAGCTCGAAATGGTTTGTGTAATATTGTAGTAATATATTAAGTAATATTACACACGCCTTGCGCTTCTAGAGGACTGCGACCGAAGGGTGACGGTCGGACGAGACCCGTCTTGGGTGAGACGGGTCAATGCCTGCCGAGGCCCGGCCATTGTGGCAAGGAGAGGAACACCGAGGTGGTTTTAAGTCGGTAAGAGTCCGACAGACCCCTTCGCCACCTCACACTGGGCGAAGGACATCCATGAGGATCTTCCAGCCCGTTAACAAAAAAAAAAATTACACACGGCTGCTGTGTCGCCAGTTCCTTTGCTTTGAATTTGGCTGGACATGCTGCCGCGTGTCTAGATTATATGAAAGTTATTAATAGCTATCTTACTGGGATAATAACTATTATAACAGAACGTGTAATATAATTTTCTACTAGATTTCTAGTAAAACTACCGTAAAATTAAATTAATTAAGTATTATTAAAAATTGATTGTTATTTTCATTTAATCAATAGAATTGTCAAACAATCACACTTATGACATTCCATCATTATTTTGCTACTTTTAACATCCATACTTGCATACTTATATTATAAATGTGAAAGTGAGTTTGTTTGCGTGTTATTGCTTTCAAGTACTTATAAACCACTACTAGTATGAGTATGCTTATCAGCAACCTAGTTACCATAGCACAGACGTGTGAATTTTATTAGAGAACTACGTTTATTGATCCATACTTGCTTACTTATATTATAAATGTGAAAGTGAGTTCATTAGTTACCCTTTTGTGAAAGCGTAACAAACGAACAAAGAATTTATAAAATCGGTTTAGTGGTTTAGACGTGTTTAAACCACTAAACCGATTTTAAAAATTCAGAAGTCGAAAGCTACATTGAGAGCGAGTAACAAAGCTACTGTTTACCACGACATACAGGCGGACGGAGCCGCGGACAAAAGATAGTAAAAAAGTAATATTAAAGATTAATATTAAAATATTTGATCAATGTTTCAACTTAAATATATAGTGATGGCCGCCTATAATAATCAAAACAAAATGTAATGTTGTTGATAATTTCTAGTTTTCTTATTAAAATGAATAGTTAAGATATACCTATAATAATTAATTAATTAAAAGTTAAAATGCATAACTTAAACTCTCAACTCCCTAAACTTCATAATTAATATGAAATATCACTATGTATTCAATTATTTATATCAGTTTCAGGAAAATGTAATATAGACGACAAATTTATACAATAATAATACTTACAAAATACTCTATAAGTATAATTAATTAATGATAATTATACATGTTATTTACATACACATCATTTAGTAAAAAACTACACCAGCATTCATAATGACAAATAGTGGTAGCGAAAAGCGGCAAAAAGTGAAATCACAATTTCAATTTGTTTCTAAATAGGTGCAGGTGCAAGCTTTTTTTAGCTTATCTAATTGTCACAGGTAAGTTATTCCAAAGCCGAACTGCTTGCATAGAAAAGGCCTTATCTGTGAATTATCTAGAATTGCCAGATGATCTCAGATCTCTGTTTTATATATTCTATAAGAACCCAAAACTTTCTTTAGGATAAGAAAGAATATGGGGATGGAAAAAGTGTTGTACAAAAGATAGAGAATACGAAAGCATGTAGGTAGCCATTGAACTTAGAAAAAAACTTTAACATAGGTATTTGCTTTAACAAAATATGAATGTAATGCATACGGTTTGGAGCTCTTCAATGTGTGATAACATCGAAACAGTTGACATTATGTACCATAGTCAACAGTAGAAATAAAAAGAGGATATACTTGGATATGCTTAACATCTTTCAAACTAATATCAATATATTTTTGATATTATTTTGATATTAAATACCCTTTGGTAATTTTGATATTAGTTTGAAAGATGTTACGAAGACTTCGCAAAGTCTGCTCCAAATATTTTACGGCTAACTTTTTCTATCTTAGTTCCTAAAAGACACAATTATTGAACCATCACAAAAAAATAGCATTTGTTATCCTGTTCACTTTGTATTTCAACCTCATGCCATCATGATCTTCTTCGTAATAGATTAAACAGTTTTGTTATTGTTCTAGTTTCTAAGACCAATATCACCACTAACCATGTAAAATCGAAGCAGTATTTTTATTCATCATAAAATACAGGAATAAAAAATCATTGAACTTAACCGGTTTGAAATCTTCAAAGCCGAAGTCGAAAGTGCGGGCAATAAGTACATACATGGAAGTTATTGCTACTTTTTCATCATATTCATACGATAAAATGATTACACGTGTGATTGTGATTTGGTCATAGAAAAAATAAATGCCATTAAAATGAATCAATTATTTTTTTTATCAAAGATTACGACCTTCTTAGGGTTCCGTACCTCAAAAGCAAAAAACGGAACCCTTATAGGATCACTTTGTTGTCCTTCCGTCCGTCCGACTGTCTGTCTGTCAAGACCCTTTATCTCGGGAACGCGTGGAGGTATCGAGTTGAAATTTAAACGATATACTCAGGTCTACAGTCTCTTGCAGCTGTGAAAAAATATAACTTCTAAGTTTACGTAAAAAAAAAACTGCTATTTATGCCGCAAAAAACGTATATTTCGACACTTTCAATTAAAATTTATAGGGTATTTTCTGTTCACCTGAAAACTATGAAATTTGGCAAGTAATATTGTCATATACTACAAGTATAGGGAAAAATCTGAAAACTATACATTAGTATTTAAATGTGAGGTATGTCATATGGGATATCGTATGAAAGGGCTTTATTGGCACAAGCTTAAACAGATTTTTAATAATTTTTATGATGTATCGTTTTTGATTACAAAGGAGAAATTCGTATTTGGGCCTAACCGTTACACGAATCAGATGTGTAAAAAGAATTCACCAATTATACTAATTAACCCATTGAAATCTTAGGCTTAATTACACTAGCCAAGTGTAGAAAATAAGTAGATTTCTATTTATTGTTTTGAACAACCTTTGTAAATCTTTGCAGCACTTATTTCATTATATGTCACTAACTTCACAAACGCTGTCATAATATCCATAGAGCATCCTAACCTAAGAATATCGATTTATTCGAACTCGATTCCTTTACAAATAAATAATAATTTATTGTTTTACTATAGGTAATTGTTTTTATAAGTATTTAAATCAATGTAAAACAAAAATAACTGAAATCGAATTATTTTTTAAGTAGTAATAATAATTAAAAGAAATAAATAATCGATTAAATCGATTAAACCAGGGATTGAAGTAGTAAATGTCTGTTAACTGTCATTTTGCCAGTGAATGTGTTTTGCCCTATTTCTCTGGTTTTATTATTTTATAAGACCTCTGCTCGAATCCTAGACTCCGAAATTGATTGCCTTCTGACTGACTCGCGCTTGAACATTGGACACCGTACCCTGCCAACCCTGCTGAAGTCACAACCCAAGCACTTCTTATTTATCTAAAACCTAATCGTAATCGTCTGCAGGCGCTGCAGCATAGTAAATGTGCGTTTTAGGTAGGAGACGAAGCCTCAAATGTATCATTTTTATAAAAATAACTCAAATAATAAAAATAACCTAAAATGTAAACATTGTCTGATTTTACCAATGTCGCCAGTGCAGAGAGACATGAAAATTGGGCTCGTCAAACATTACTAAGTGCTCTAATTTATGGCCAAGTTCCAGCCCTGTAACGCCAGGCCAAAGTTTGTATGGACTTTGGATTTCTCCTTTGTACAGAACCCTCGGTGGGCGAGCACATAATAATAATAATAAGTCGCAGTGGTTTTCTAAATCAATTTATATCAGATGATTGTGATTTTATTAAATCCATATTTACACAGCAAACAACACTGACGAGCGTTTCGTAGTCGTTAATTACCACTTTTATCTCAATAATGTCACCAGTACTATAATAATAAATATTATTTGTAGGCATGTACTTCGTTATCTACAAAATTAATATACAATATAAAAAAAACTGTTTAATGTCCCACTTCCCTAATCATACCACAAACGTTTGTTTGAGTGGTTTTATTGCGTAAGAAGTTAAATATGTACAGATATTTCGCCTTAATCATTCATGAAGCTCTGAAAAACTATTCATAACCTTGCTTGCGTAACTACCACAGTAAGTATGTGTACCTACCTATGCGCGTAATTTATGTGACATGTGTTTGGACAATGTACATACTTTTTTCAAGTGAGCATACGTTCATATGTAATAAAGTTATAAACATACATAAAAACATCTACTACTCTGTCAAGAAAATACCGGGAAAAGATCAATAATACACAAAATGTTTGTTATTCATCCAATTTTTTTTATCACCTTCAAAGTATGCTCCTTCAGAAACGATACACTTAGGCCAACGAATAATCCAATCACAAAAACATTTTTTAAACGCTTTTTCCAGAATTGAGTTCAGTTCTCGTCGCGAATTCTCCTTTATGTCTTCTACCGATTGAAAACGGGTACCACGCAGTGGTAATTTGGGTGTAGGAAAAAGAAAGAAGTCGGCTAAAGCCATATATCTGGTGAATATGGTGGTTGCTCGATGGTATTTGTTGAGTGTTTGGTCAATTATTTATTTACCGTTTGACATTCTGGCAAGAATTCCGAGTGCACAACAGCGTGATAGTAGGTAAAAAAAAACAGTTAACATGACTTTGACTTTTGATCAACTTTGGCGTGGTTTTTTTGGTTTCGGTTAAGTTGGAAGGCGCCACCAAGAAGCTTATTGACTAGTTTGCATGTCTCGTCACCAGTAACAATGCGTTTCATGAATGTTGGGACGGAATTGACTCATTCTAGCATGTCCTCAGCGACTCATGCGATTGAGTTTTTGGAGAAAATTCAGGTCTTTTGGGACTAACCGAGCGGTAACATGTTTCATACCCAAATGATTAGTTAAAATGGTACGGATCGACTCGTGAGATACAGAAAGTTCGGCGGCTATCTCTCTCAAAATCAGGATTTTTAGTCACTATTTCAGTTGCAGAGGTTGATGGCCTACCAGAGCGAGGCAAATCTTCCATCACATCTCGACCGCTTTTGAACGCTTTGTACCACTGATAAGCACGTGTTTTTGATAAAGTCGATTCACCGTAAACCTTCTGTAACATTTTCAGTGACTCCGAACACGAAATATATTTCCATTGGCAATGCAAAATTTAAGACAAACACTTTGTTCGATGTTTTTGTCCATTATGAAATTCGCAATACACACTAGATATGATATAACTAAAAACAGCACTGTATTTAATTTAAATAACAGATGCAACTTAAACTAAGCGCCAAAATGGAAAGCAGTTGTGCCAATCTAACAACAACAAAAAAAACAAAAAATTTAATTTGGAACCACAAACAAATCATCCATCGGGAATGGATGATCTGTTTATGGTTTCAACTTCTTGACTCAACTTTTTTGACTGAATGTGTAAATATAACTCGGGTGTCAAAGTAAAGGTAAAGAACTCAAATAGTGTGTGTTCAACTCAGAATTGTTTACATTGACAGACATGGCGGTGACCTACTGGATGATTGATAAATAGTAAAACCAACCAACAGGTCACAGAAAAGGAATAATTTTAAAATAAATAATAAGTTATCAATAGAAATATCTATACAAATAAACAAAATTAAAGTGTCTGTTTGTTATGTTAAAAAAAATGTTTTTTTTCATACTCACACGGTTATTTGCACGATACCCTTGCCTAAAAACCAGTTAGAATATTTTTGTGTCTGTCTGTCTGTTTGTGCCGGGTAATCTTCAGAATGGCTGGACTGATTTTAATAATATTTTGACTACCAGGTAGCCTTCTATATAAGGACTAACTGAGGCTATTTTTCCTCTCAGAAAAACCCTATAAAATTTTGGCCTGTCCGGGAATCGAACCCGAGGCCTCATGGACTAGGTATAGTGGCGTACCGTACTACACAACTAAGGCAGCGCTTTTCAAATTCCACGAGAACAAAGTGGCGGGTACCAGCTAGTATATATATAAATAAATTGTACTGTTTTGTGCTACAGGTATTCAATAAAATACTTCTACACAAATAAACATTACTGATGAATATGTAAAAGTGTGTTTATATTGTCTGCATATAAAATGTTATCATATTTAACCACTGTAGATACGACTAGGTAATTAAACTTATACTTACGCGCAGTGACAAAAACGCAATAATTCTGTATGCCATGGTGGTTTTTGCATTTCTGAATGTACCAAGATTGACTATTATTAGGTGATCTAATAATGTATTTTTATTTCCAGCGTTAAATTGAAACGGTAAATTGTTGACGCAGTGTTGATACTTTTAAATATTTATCAGCATTGGTGCTAATTTGTTGTTCTAAAACTCTCTAAACTAAACTAAAAATCAGTTAAAATTAATTTAGTCCTGTCAAGTACTACGTATTTAGAATACGAAACGTTTTTTGGACAGGACTAAATTAATTTTTAGCTTAGAGAGTTTTCGAACAACAAAATTAGCACCACTGTCTGAATTTTGAAACTTAGCATGATGTAGCAATATTAATCATAATTTGACACATCTCACACACGGCTGTCTGATCCCAAACTTTGTAGAGCCTGTACTAAGGTATCAATATATTTTCAAATACACACATTTTATGGATAAATTTCGTGCTCATTACACAATATTTGTCCTGGGTGGGAATCGAACTCACGACCTCCGACTTAGCAGTCAGGGTCACTAACCACTAGGCTAAACAGGCCCGTCATAATCAATTAGAATAAACCTACGTTTTTAAGTGTAATTATTTAGATAACTTGACAAACATCGAAGCCTAGTCTCCGGATACAGGTAGACATGGATCGAGAGGCAGCCGCAAAATTTCCAGGGTATCTGTTATATTGATGAAACCCATCAGGAATGATGGTATTCACGTTAGTAAAGAAAAAGCACCACGATTGCCTGGATTCCGTATGACCCCAGGAGTGGGGGAAGTAATTTTTTTATTGCAAAAATCACATATTTACTTGGTCCATATGTTATAGTTATCAAACCGACATCAAATTGCAGTTTAAAATGTTATTCAAGAAAAAAAATGATTGCCTGGATAAAAATGACTCAAATTGAGGCAATCACGAGTCTTAATCCTGTTTCCCCATCTTTGACTTACTGTGTCCCTTACCCTAGCTCCCTCTCCGTGTTTCTTACTATAATTAATCTCCCCTTTTTTGTCCGGCCAGAAAATCCATTACATTAGTACTTTCCTAACAAGGGTTAGCGCCAGTCTGCGTCAGGCATGCGGCCGGCCATAGAAGAAACTAGCCAGAACCCTCTGCATTGTTATACGTTACCCAGATTCAAAACAAAATTTGATAAACTTACGAGTCATCATCATCAACAGCCTTTCATAATCCACTGCTGGACGTAGGCCTCTCTTTAGAAAAGAGCTTTTGGCCTACTATACTGTTACGAGCGGGGTATATAATAAATAAAAGTTGTCGGTTAATTACTTTTATTGCACTGTATTTACGAACACTCACTATTACACACAAGAAAATAAACAAATAGGTTTTTAATTTACGAAAAAGTTTCCTTTCAGCGATTTAAATAAGTGTTTCGTTTATTTGTATACCCGATATAATACTTCATTTATAAGCATGAATGAACAACAATTAAAAAAAAAACCGCGGAAGCTTAGATACAGTTTACGGATATAGTTATCGATTTTTAGTATTTAATTTAATAATCATAATTAATTATACATAGTATTGCACAACAAATTGTAATCTTTAATCAGTAGGTTACAAGGAGCTGCGAAGAATCAATTCTGTCGTAGTCGAACATACTGAATCCACGCGGTGTTCCCGTTACCTGATTTAATTTTACAGTTTACTTGACATAACCTTTAACTGATATTATGGTTAACAATTTTATTCTTACAAGCTTATGCACGCGGGCGGAGCCGCGGGCATTTAAAACGCTACTACCAAAAATAACGAAGTTGCATATAAATTTTACACCCTTAGGAGTGGATTTTGAAGTCCTCTCTTAGTGCACCCCTAACGTCACCTAAGGA